GCATTTACATCTAGCCTGTTTACATTTCCTGAGGCAAGCGATGGTTGGGCTCCAGTTGAGCCTTTACAGTCAGTGTCCTGCTTGCCCTGTGAAATGGAAGTAACAACCGAAAGAGGGTAAATAACCAGTGTCTGTCTCTCATGAACACTTTAGTAGCCATGACAAGGGCAAAGAGGGACAAAACCCTGCTTGAGTCAAGGATGAAGAGATCTCCCCTCCCCCCACCCCCCTTGTGGGAGAAGGGAAACACTACACACGCGCAGAGAGGCTCCTTGTGGGTGAAAAGTCCCGCGAAAGTGCCAGACCATGATGAGCCTCGCTTCTCCCAGAAGCCTCCACTTGGAGATCCATCTTGGCTGAGGGGTATGTGCACACCAGGGCAGAGGCCCAGGATAGGTCAGATGTGAAGAAAGAAACCAGAAACTTGGCAGGAAGGAAGACAAAGACCCAGAAGAACTGGCCTATATAAAGGACTTCACCACCTCGTGGTTATTGTGCTCCTTGTCACCAGGGGGCGCCCATAACCTTTCTCTCCAGGTGTGTGTCTCTGCTTTGCTTCTGTGGTAACTAGACCAGCTGTTCCTCCGTGTTCTTTCCCACGTGTTGCTGTGCTGTGTCTCTGATAATAAACGTTGTACCTGCATGTAGCGATTCTGCCTCCATGATGAATGCATTTTTCACTGGTCAAAGATCCAGGGAAACTTGGCTTCTAGCCTCTAGCCCTTGCTGGTCTGGTGGCTAGGATTCCTGGTTTTCGTTCAGGCTACCCGGGTTCAGTTCCTGGGCAGCGAATTAGATCTCACTTCACGCCACCACTCACTGCTGCCTCACTGAGATCAACTCAATTTTTATCACCATTTAATCTACATCATATGAATTTTTGCAACTTTTCGAGAAAGGACTTCTTAGGAATTAACATACTGATATTTCCATAAGGGGGAAATACTTCTTCCCTAAAACTGCATTGAGAAGATTTGCACTTAAAAAAATGTGTTTTAATGTAGCGGAATTACTATTTTGTCTTTACACTCTAGCAGTTGTTAAATCCTTAACTGCCAAGAACTGTTCAGGCTTCCCTGGTGGCTCAGCTGGTGAGGAATCCACCTGCAGTGCAGGAGACCTGGGTTCGATCCCTGGGTTGCAAAGACCCCCTGGAGAAGGGAAACGGCTACCCACTCTAGTATTCTGGCCTGGAGAATTCCATGGACTGTACAGTCCATGCGTTCGCAGAGTCAGACATGACAGAGCGACTTTCACTGTTCACCAGCAACGGTTCGGCCTGAGATAAGAACTTTCAAAAATCTTTGAACACAGACGCTCTAACTTATTTTCCCTCTGGGATAAATATTTTGCATTTACTTTTAGGTCATATAGACACAATAGGCAGAGAACTCTCTTATCATGTATTTTATTTGCATGTAAATTAACATCCTAGAAACTTTAAAGTAGAAACACTAAATACAGTATTGCACAGAGTATTAATCTGTGTTAAATGCCCCATTATCTCACTGAAGTTCCTATACGCATGCAGGGACTGAAGGAGACAGGAAGATGGCAGAAGAGCAACCCGAGAGCCACTACTGTGTCTGGGCACATCAACTACAGACTGCAAGGTAAGGACAGTATTTTACAGAAATAGAAACATAGTTACAATTCAGATTTCCTTTTTAAGTTGCCTCCTTAATTGGTTTGCAGTAGCAACAGATTCTCCCCTTTTTTCATAGCCATTCCCCAACACATATCATTTTAAAAAATCTATTAATGTTAGACAAAGCCATCACAGTGCTTCAGGAGTGACTTCAAGAAAACTCCAATCAAGTCACAGTACTCAGGCAGGTGGGTTTAATAGAGAAGTCCTAGGTAGATATCAATGCATCTGAAAGTGGGCAGTAATGTTTGAACACATCTAGGATTTCCTTTTAAACACAAGCTCCAAGGAAACAGTACTGAATTGACCAGAGGAACAGTAAAAAGAGGACATCACTGGAAGGGAGTTTACACTGCCAGTCTGGCCCTGTGGTCTGGCGCTGGGGTAGCATCTGCTCGCTTGGCCCCTGTGTCCCTCAGGGAGGTCACGGGCTCAAGAGTGCAGAACAAGTATCATCACTAGGACTGCCCAGAGCTGCTGCGAACATCCAAAAAGTTTCACTTTAAGAGTTCTTTAGAGGGCTTCCCTGGCGATCCAGTGGCTGCTCCCAATGCAGGGGCCTGGGTTCAATCTCTGGTCAGTGAACTAGATCCCATTCACTGCAAGGAAGAGTGTGCACGCCACAATGAAAGATCCCATGTGTGGCAACCAAGACCTGGTGCAGCTTACAAAAGAGAAAAAAGGCACAAAATGTTCTTTAGAAAGTGCTATAAAATGCTATGAATGATTGCTTCTGCTAAGCAAATGGTAAGAAAATATGTGTATTAGTTGCTCAGCTGTGTCCGACTCTTTGAGACTCCATGGACTGTGGCCTTCCCAGTTCCTCTGTCCGTGGAATTCTCTAGGCAAGAATACTGGAAGAGGTGGCCATTCCCTTCTCCAGGCGATCTTCTCAACCCAGGCATGAAACCCAGGTCTTCTGCATTGCAGACAGATTCTTTACCACCTGAGCCACCAGGGAAGCCCAGGAAATACGTCGACCGGAATCCTCTTAATCAAGACAGGGGCCATTAGAGAGAAAATAACCTACTCGGTTAATTTAGTTTTATTATTGCCATTCTCCTTGGGAATTAAAAAGAGGGTACTTCTGGAGAAACTGACAAAGCTGTGATTTATCTTAATAAAAGACTTCTTATGGAGATCTTGAAACCTGTTTCCTGAAAGAAATGAGTTCTAAATATATTTCTTAAGCCTGGTGGCAAAGTTTCTAATGACAGAATTCATCTCCCATGCAGCTCAATGAATCCCTGGTTTTTTTTTTTTTTTCATTTATTTTTATTAGTTGGAGGCTAATGACTTTACAAATTTTTTTGTCATACATTGACATGAATTAGCCATGGATTTACATGTATTCCCCATCCCGATCCCCCCTCCCACCTCCGTCTCGACCCGATCCCTTTGGTTCTTCCCAGTGCACCAGGTCCGAGCACTTGTCTCCTGCATCCAACCTGGGCTGGTGATCTCTTTCACCCTAGGTTATATATACGTGTTTCGGTGCTGTTCTCTTGAAACATCCCACCCGCGCCTTCTCCCACAGAGTCCAAAAGTCTGTTCTATACATCTGTGTGTCTTTTTCTGTTTTGCATATAGGGTTATGGTTACCATCTTGCTCAATTCCATGTATATGTGTTAGTATCCTGTAATGGTCTTTATCTTTCTGGCTTACTTCAGTCTGTATAACGGGCTCCAGTTTCATCCATCTCTTTAGAACTGATTCAAATGAATTCTTTTTAATGGCTGAGTAAGATTCCATGGTGTATATGTACCACAGCTGCCTTATCCATTTGTCTGCTGACGGGCATCTAGGTTGCTTCCATGTCCTGCCTATTATAAACGGTGCTGCGATGAACATTGGGGTGCACGTGTCTCTTTCAGATCTGGTTTCCTCGGCGTGTATGCCCAGAAGTGGGATTGCTGGATCATAGGGCAGTTCTGTTTCCAGTTTTTTAAGAAATCTCCACACTGTTTTCCATAGCGGCTGTACTAGTTTGCATTCCCACCGACAGGGTAAGAGGGTTCCCTTTTCTCCACACCCTCTCCAGCATTTATTGCTTGTAGACTTTTTGGATAGCAGCCATCCTGCCTGGCGTGTAATGGTACCTCATTGTGGTTTTGATTTGCATTTCTCGGATAATGAGTGATGTTGAGCATCTTTTCATGTGTCTTTTAGCCATCTGTATGCCTTCCTTGGAGAAATGTCTGGTTAGCTCTTTGGCCCATTTTTTGATTGGGTCATTTATTTTCTGGAGTTGAGCTGGAGGAGTTGCTTGTATATTTTTGAGATTAATCCTTTGTGTGTTGCTTCGTTTGCTGTTATTTTCTCCCAATCTGAGGGCTGTCCTTTCACCTCGCTTATAGTTTCTTTGTCGTGCAAAAGCTTTTAAGTTTCATTAGGTCCCATTTGTTAATTTTCGCTTTTGTTTCTAATACTCTGGGATCCTGCTGTGATTTATGTCGGAGAGTGTTTTGCCTGTGTTCTCCTCTAGGAGTTTTATGGTTTCTGGTCTTAACGTTTAGATCTTTAATCCATTTTGAGTTTATTTCTGTGTATGGTGTTAGACGGTGTTCTCGTTTCATTCTTTTCCAGGTGGCTGACCAGTTTTCCCAGCACCGCTTGTTAAAGAGGTTGTCTTTTTTTCCACTGTATATCCTTGCCTCCTTTGTCGAAGATAAGGTGACCATAGGTTCGTGGATTTATCTCTGGGCTTTCTGTTCTGTTCCATTGATCTATATTTCTGTCTTTGTGCCAGTACCATACTGTCTTGATGACTGTGGCTTTGTGGTATAGTCTGAAGTCAGGCAGGTTGATTCCTCCAGTTCCATTCTTCTTTCTCAAGATTCCTTTGGCTATTCGAGGTGTTTTGCATTTCCATACAAATTGTGAAATTATTTGCTCTAGTTCTCTGAAAGCTGCCGTTGGTAGCTTGATAGGGATTGCCTTGAATCTGTAGATTGCTTTGGGTACTATAGCCATTTTGACAATATTGAGAATCCCTGTTTTTCAACAACAGAATGAATCAAATCATTGAGTGCAGCAGCTCTGAGGTTACTGTTACAGCTCACATTAAGGCAAGATGGATCAAGGTAACTGTTGGTTTGTTTGTTTTTTTAGCCCTTGGAGACAATCCAGTAGATGCTGTCTTAAATTTACCTAGAACTCTTGAAGGAAGAATTTTAAGGACCTCAGGAAGGTCCTGTGCTTGGCGGGTGGCGTGGAGAGGAGGGGGGCCGCGGTCGGGCGAAGGGGCAGGGCTGAGGCGCTCGGGTGGACCGCGCTGGTGGCTCCCAGTGGGTTTGGGCCCCGGGCAGGTGCCGGGCAGGATGGGCGCTCAGGGCCCCGGCTGCGCTCCGCCTATGCCCGAGGGAGGCTCAGAGGACCGAGGGCCGCGGTCCGCGGCGGGCCCGAATCAGACACCTCCGGGGCCACGTGGCCCTGAGCCACGAACGGGAGTGGGTGGCGGGGGGGGGCGCTGACAGTGGGCGGGCCTGGAGAGGCCCAGGGCGGGAGGGCGCCGAGACCTCCGCACCCCTCACCCCAACCCCAAGCCCAGGCATGCACGCCCGACCGGCCGCTCGGGGTCCCGGAAACACTCCGGGCCCCCGGGCCGGGCCAGGTTTGCTGGCCAGGGTTGCCGGTGTGTGGGGACTGGGAGGCTTCGGCCGGGCTGCCGGCCCTGGCCGGCGCGCCCCGTGGAAAGGTGCGGCCGGCTGGCTCGACACGGCACATCAGAGCGAAAAGCAGGCGCAGCGCAGGGTTTTTAAAGGCGCCTGGCGGCAACCGCCTCCATCTAAGATCATACCACCCTGAACGGGCCAGATGTCTTCTGATCGGGGAAACTAAGCAGGGTTAGTTAGTACTTGGATGGGAGACCCCCTAGTAGTTAGGAGCTCCAGGCTTTTGCACAAAGTAGACGACAAGCCAATGCAGAGGTGATGAAAAGTTTATCGTGAAAAATCCAATTCAACCTGAATTCAAGGATGGTTTATGGCATAAAAGCAAGTGTTTTCCATTAGGTTCCCCCCCACCCCCCATTAACTTGCATAATGGTTGCCATTAGCATAATGCTTAGTTTTTATTCCTTCTTTCCTTGTCTATATCCATCTTTTTGCACCATCATGTGGTGCCTTATTGGCATAATTTTCCGCCTTTTGTCTTCCCATAATGCTGCTGGAGGAGACAGATGGACTCCAGGTTAGGCATTTACATCTAGCCTGTTTACATTTCCTGAGGCAAGCGATGGTTGGGCTCCAGTTGAGCCTTTACAGTCAGTGTCCTGCTTGCCCTGTGAAATGGAAGTAACAACCGAAAGAGGGTAAATAACCAGTGTCTGTCTCTCATGAACACTTTAGTAGCCATGACAAGGGCAAAGAGGGACAAAACCCTGCTTGAGTCAAGGATGAAGAGATCTCCCCTCCCCCCACCCCCCTTGTGGGAGAAGGGAAACACTACACACGCGCAGAGAGGCTCCTTGTGGGTGAAAAGTCCCGCGAAAGTGCCAGACCATGATGAGCCTTGCTTCTCCCAGAAGCCTCCACTTGGAGATCCATCTTGGCTGAGGGGTATGTGCACACCAGGGCAGAGGCCCAGGATAGGTCAGATGTGAAGAAAGAAACCAGAAACTTGGCAGGAAGGAAGACAAAGACCCAGAAGAACTGGCCTATATAAAGGACTTCACCACCTCGTGGTTATTGTGCTCCTTGTCACCAGGGGGCGCCCATAACCTTTCTCTCCAGGTGTGTGTCTCTGCTTTGCTTCTGTGGTAACTAGACCAGCTGTTCCTCCGTGTTCTTTCCCACGTGTTGCTGTGCTGTGTCTCTGATAATAAACGTTGTACCTGCATGTAGCGATTCTGCCTCCATGATGAATGCATTTTTCACTGGTCAAAGATCCAGGGAAACTTGGCTTCTAGCCTCTAGCCCTTGCTGGTCTGGTGGCTAGGATTCCTGGTTTTCGTTCAGGCTACCCGGGTTCAGTTCCTGGGCAGCGAATTAGATCTCACTTCACGCCACCACTCACTGCTGCCTCACTGAGATCAACTCAATTTTTATCACCATTTAATCTACATCATATGAATTTTTGCAACTTTTCGAGAAAGGACTTCTTAGGAATTAACATACTGATATTTCCATAAGGGGGAAATACTTCTTCCCTAAAACTGCATTGAGAAGATTTGCACTTAAGAAAATGTGTTTTAATGTAGCGGAATTACTATTTTGTCTTTACACTCTAGCAGTTGTTAAATCCTTAACTGCCAAGAACTGTTCAGGCTTCCCTGGTGGCTCAGCTGGTGAGGAATCCACCTGCAGTGCAGGAGACCTGGGTTCGATCCCTGGGTTGCAAAGACCCCCTGGAGAAGGGAAACGGCTACCCACTCTAGTATTCTGGCCTGGAGAATTCCATGGACTGTACAGTCCATGCGTTCGCAGAGTCAGACATGACAGAGCGACTTTCACTGTTCACCAGCAACGGTTCGGCCTGAGATAAGAACTTTCAAAAATCTTTGAACACAGACGCTCTAACTTATTTTCCCTCTGGGATAAATATTTTGCATTTACTTTTAGGTCATATAGACACAATAGGCAGAGAACTCTCTTATCATGTATTTTATTTGCATGTAAATTAACATCCTAGAAACTTTAAAGTAGAAACACTAAATACAGTATTGCACAGAGTATTAATCTGTGTTAAATGCCCCATTATCTCACTGAAGTTCCTATACGCATGCAGGGACTGAAGGAGACAGGAAGATGGCAGAAGAGCAACCCGAGAGCCACTACTGTGTCTGGGCACATCAACTACAGACTGCAAGGTAAGGACAGTATTTTACAGAAATAGAAACATAGTTACAATTCAGATTTCCTTTTTAAGTTGCCTCCTTAATTGGTTTGCAGTAGCAACAGATTCTCCCCTTTTTTCATAGCCATTCCCCAACACATATCATTTTAAAAAATCTATTAATGTTAGACAAAGCCATCACAGTGCTTCAGGAGTGACTTCAAGAAAACTCCAATCAAGTCACAGTACTCAGGCAGGTGGGTTTAATAGAGAAGTCCTAGGTAGATATCAATGCATCTGAAAGTGGGCAGTAATGTTTGAACACATCTAGGATTTCCTTTTAAACACAAGCTCCAAGGAAACAGTACTGAATTGACCAGAGGAACAGTAAAAAGAGGACATCACTGGAAGGGAGTTTACACTGCCAGTCTGGCCCTGTGGTCTGGCGCTGGGGTAGCATCTGCTCGCTTGGCCCCTGTGTCCCTCAGGGAGGTCACGGGCTCAAGAGTGCAGAACAAGTATCATCACTAGGACTGCCCAGAGCTGCTGCGAACATCCAAAAAGTTTCACTTTAAGAGTTCTTTAGAGGGCTTCCCTGGCGATCCAGTGGCTGCTCCCAATGCAGGGGCCTGGGTTCAATCTCTGGTCAGTGAACTAGATCCCATTCACTGCAAGGAAGAGTGTGCACGCCACAATGAAAGATCCCATGTGTGGCAACCAAGACCTGGTGCAGCTTACAAAAGAGAAAAAAGGCACAAAATGTTCTTTAGAAAGTGCTATAAAATGCTATGAATGATTGCTTCTGCTAAGCAAATGGTAAGAAAATATGTGTATTAGTTGCTCAGCTGTGTCCGACTCTTTGTGACTCCATGGACTGTGGCCTTCCCAGTTCCTCTGTCCGTGGAATTCTCTAGGCAAGAATACTGGAAGAGGTGGCCATTCCCTTCTCCAGGCGATCTTCTCAACCCAGGCAGGAAACCCAGGTCTTCTGCATTGCAGACAGATTCTTTACCACCTGAGCCACCAGGGAAGCCCAGGAAATACGTCGACCGGAATCCTCTTAATCAAGACAGGGGCCATTAGAGAGAAAATAACCTACTCGGTTAATTTAGTTTTATTATTGCCATTCTCCTTGGGAATTAAAAAGAGGGTACTTCTGGAGAAACTGACAAAGCTGTGATTTATCTTAATAAAAGACTTCTTATGGAGATCTTGAAACCTGTTTCCTGAAAGAAATGAGTTCTAAATATATTTCTTAAGCCTGGTGGCAAAGTTTCTAATGACAGAATTCATCTCCCATGCAGCTCAATGAATCCCTGGTTTTTTTTTTTTTTCATTTATTTTTATTAGTTGGAGGCTAATGACTTTACAAATTTTTTTGTCATACATTGACATGAATTAGCCATGGATTTACATGTATTCCCCATCCCGATCCCCCCTCCCACCTCCGTCTCGACCCGATCCCTTTGGTTCTTCCCAGTGCACCAGGTCCGAGCACTTGTCTCCTGCATCCAACCTGGGCTGGTGATCTCTTTCACCCTAGGTTATATATACGTGTTTCGGTGCTGTTCTCTTGAAACATCCCACCCGCGCCTTCTCCCACAGAGTCCAAAAGTCTGTTCTATACATCTGTGTGTCTTTTTCTGTTTTGCATATAGGGTTATGGTTACCATCTTGCTCAATTCCATGTATATGTGTTAGTATCCTGTAATGGTCTTTATCTTTCTGGCTTACTTCAGTCTGTATAACGGGCTCCAGTTTCATCCATCTCTTTAGAACTGATTCAAATGAATTCTTTTTAATGGCTGAGTAAGATTCCATGGTGTATATGTACCACAGCTGCCTTATCCATTTGTCTGCTGACGGGCATCTAGGTTGCTTCCATGTCCTGCCTATTATAAACGGTGCTGCGATGAACATTGGGGTGCACGTGTCTCTTTCAGATCTGGTTTCCTCGGCGTGTATGCCCAGAAGTGGGATTGCTGGATCATAGGGCAGTTCTGTTTCCAGTTTTTTAAGAAATCTCCACACTGTTTTCCATAGCGGCTGTACTAGTTTGCATTCCCACCGACAGGGTAAGAGGGTTCCCTTTTCTCCACACCCTCTCCAGCATTTATTGCTTGTAGACTTTTTGGATAGCAGCCATCCTGCCTGGCGTGTAATGGTACCTCATTGTGGTTTTGATTTGCATTTCTCGGATAATGAGTGATGTTGAGCATCTTTTCATGTGTCTTTTAGCCATCTGTATGCCTTCCTTGGAGAAATGTCTGGTTAGCTCTTTGGCCCATTTTTTGATTGGGTCATTTATTTTCTGGAGTTGAGCTGGAGGAGTTGCTTGTATATTTTTGAGATTAATCCTTTGTGTGTTGCTTCGTTTGCTGTTATTTTCTCCCAATCTGAGGGCTGTCCTTTCACCTCGCTTATAGTTTCTTTGTCGTGCAAAAGCTTTTAAGTTTCATTAGGTCCCATTTGTTAATTTTCGCTTTTGTTTCTAATACTCTGGGATCCTGCTGTGATTTATGTCGGAGAGTGTTTTGCCTGTGTTCTCCTCTAGGAGTTTTATGGTTTCTGGTCTTAACGTTTAGATCTTTAATCCATTTTGAGTTTATTTCTGTGTATGGTGTTAGACGGTGTTCTCGTTTCATTCTTTTCCAGGTGGCTGACCAGTTTTCCCAGCACCGCTTGTTAAAGAGGTTGTCTTTTTTTCCACTGTATATCCTTGCCTCCTTTGTCGAAGATAAGGTGACCATAGGTTCGTGGATTTATCTCTGGGCTTTCTGTTCTGTTCCATTGATCTATATTTCTGTCTTTGTGCCAGTACCATACTGTCTTGGTGACTGTGGCTTTGTGGTATAGTCTGAAGTCAGGCAGGTTGATTCCTCCAGTTCCATTCTTCTTTCTCAAGATTCCTTTGGCTATTCGAGGTGTTTTGCATTTCCATACAAATTGTG